ACATTCTCCAATTAGTTTGAAATGCAGGCTTTCCCTCCTTTACTCCAACCTGCCTTTTCTTATCATCTCTTATTTCAAAAGCCCTGAATTCACACACTAGTACAATATTATTATGTCTAACTAACTCCCATCACATTCCTCCTCCTTTCCAGCATCATCTAATTCTAAGAGTAAAGCATAAGAAAGAAAAAAGGCTGCATCTCCATATGTTGTCAAAGCAACAACATCCAATGTTAGCAGCATTGACACCCAGGTTGTTGCAACTGTTGTAAATACATGCCAGTTTCCAATTGCCTGAATTTTGACCATATGACTGCGGACGCTGCGATGGTTATAAGTGTGAGGACCGGTTGTAAGTCCATTGTACAATGCCATTGTAGCTTCAAATGGTCACTAAAGGACTGTGACCTTGTGATATTTGTATCCCCAAAGATTTAAGTATTCTTGGTAACATAGAGATGAACAGGGTAATAACCTCACTGGATTTATATTATACATCCTCACCAATAGATTCTGCATACTCACCAATCTTCTTATTATGTTCAGGACCAATTGTAGTTTTCAAAGGATTTTTGCAGATAACTCCATGTAGATAAAGATACAGTTTACTAGTTCTTTTATAAACACATTTCTATGGTTTTTCTCAGCAAAAAAGACACAGCTTTTCGTTTTTATTTTCTTTCAGCTTTTTAAAAACTTTTAAACTAATTTACATTCCTGGAACTTGCACACAGACACTCATGCACGCACACACACACACATGCACACACACACACACACACACAGAGAGAGAGAGAGAGAGAGAGAGAGAGAGAGAGAGCAAAATATACAAGACAAACAAGCATAAAGATAGAAAATAAGAAATAGCAATATAAGAAAAAACAAATAAAACACACAATTGTGCCTTCCACCCTTCTTCTATCGAGGTCTTATCACCTTAAAATATTTCTGCCGCCTTTTCATCTCATTTTTAATCCCCTAATCGCCAAATCATCTGTTTGTTCTTCTCTTCTTTCAGCAAAAAAGTTCAGATAAAGCTTTGAGGGGGAAAAAAAGTCTTTATTGTTTTTGCTCTGATCAAATTGGCCACCTTTACCATTTCTGCAAATTCAGTTAATTTTATCATCCAGTCTTCCACTGCAGGCATTTCACTGCTTTTCTGACTTTTTGCATAAAGTAAGCTTGGGAATTTCTAGAGCTTCATTGTTTCTCCATCTAGAAGTGGTTTGGGATCAACATTGCTTGGTTCTTTTGAGATCAGCCAAGAGCAGAGAAGTGCAAAGCTCCAATCCAGATGTTACTAAGGCATTCAATGTAGACATGGCTTCTCTTTCCGCCATGCCACAGAGGAAAAAAAAATGTACCTTTTTCACAGAGGTTCTCCTGCAAACATCTGGCTGGCAGTTGCAGCCGGAAAAGAGAACCATTTTGGTTCAACCCCACAAAATTACACTTCCGTTCCTAGTCTGACAGGCATTCTTTAAAGCAGTGGTTCTCAACCTGTGGGTCGGGACCCCATTTGGGGTCGAACGACCATTTCACGGGGGTCGCCAAACAACGCAGTCCATCATTTTTTTCCCCCTTTTCCTTAGCTGTGCTACTCCCTTTTATTCTATTGGCTTTTGAAAGCCAATAGAATAGACTCTCTTGAATAGAGTCTAATTCTATTGGCTTTCAAAAGCCAGTAGGAATTGTCCAAGCTGTCTCTGCCCTGCTGAGCCTGCCAAAAGTCCCATTCTGCAAAAGGTGCTGCACCAGTTGAGTAGTCCTCGACTTACGACTGGTTGAGTAGTCCTCGACTTACGACCAGTTGGGGGGTCGCGGCATTAAAAAGGTTGAGAACCACTACTTTAAAGCAAGGAAAAGAATCATTTCAAAAGTTAAATTAAACCTGAGCTTTCTAGCTGAGTCAGTGTAGCCAGCTTGAGCATTTGCAAAAGCAGCTGCCTCAGGACCTGGTTTTCTTTGGGCAATCAAAGGTTAGTCAGTTAATTTATTCTTTCTTTTTTGGAGGGGAGCAGGCAAAGAGAGGCAGAGTTACGCTACTGTAGCTCGGCAAAATATTTGAGCCCAGCTTTTTGTCGGTATGGATGGGCTGTGACTTCTTAGCGGAGGGCAAAAAACACACCAGGAAACAGAAACCACTTGAACTGCTGGAACTCTGCTTTATTGATACTGACACTAATAGCAGAGTCTTGAAAATAATAATAATTTCTCCCTCTCTCTCCTTTTCTTTTCTTTCTCTCCTTTTATACCAATTTTGAGTTTCTTTCTTGTACGTTCTTGGTTTTCTGAGTGAAGATTTGTGTTTTATTAATATTTTCCCCATAACTTATTTTAAGGCAGCCATCTCAGTACAGTAGTCCTCAACTTAAAGCATATGAAATTCTGACTCTATGAAATTCCGATGGACTTACCTGGGGTGTACTTATGATCTGGATTTAAATTTCCAACTCTCATCTCACCTTAGCCACGTGACCACACTTCAGGTGCTTAGCAACCAGACCGCATTTATGGCCATTTGCAGCATCCCACGGTCACATAAGTGCATTTTATGATGGCCTTGCCTAAAGCCTGCTTCTACTTCCAGTTTGGGGCAAAATCAAACCCACAGAGAACTGTTGGTTTGCTTAATGACAGGGCATTGGCTTAATGTTTTTGACTGCTGCAAAAAAAGCTTATAAAAGCTCATAACATCAAGTTAATCATGTGATCAAATGTCCTGAGTTACAACCGTGATAGGCAGGCTCCATTATGCTCATAACTCAAGAACTATCTCTACTCCGCTATAGTTTATGGAGATTCTCAATCATTCAGGTCATGGTTGTTCCAAAGCAGCTTTGGCAAAAACAACTGATGAGAAGCGAAATGTTTTCAAAGGAGAAATCAAGACAGTTCAGTTGCCCTGTGGAAAACCACCTTTTACTCTGCTATAGGAATGCACGCCAGACATGTGCAGAGCAGTAATTTTATGATCATATCCAGAACATTCATGCTCATCCAAATCAAGCTCCATCTGGTCCTATCTGCCAGATGCGTTGGTGAGACTCCCATCCATTTCCATGCTGAGTGATGCTGAATGCAGTTACTGTCCTTTGCGACCTACTGTCTACGCCGTCCCCACAAATAGGGACCCCAAAGAGGTAACACTTGGCAGGGCCTCCTGCATTCACCTTCACAGCAGCCAATTTTCCAGGGGTGCTTTTTCAGCCTCCCAAGTCGAAGCAGGGAATCACTTTCAGCGCTGAGTCTTCTCCTCTGCCTTGGCTGGTGGCTTGCTTGCCTAGCGGACTCTCTGGTTGCCAAGAGTGCCTGCCATGGGTTGTGAATCCTCCACCTCCCTTTAGGGCATCCACACAACCACCCTTCTCCCAGGGATAATTTTTGGTCAAAAGGGGAAACTGCAAGAGGACCAGACAGCTGTGCTGAAATGTCAGACTGAGTAACACAAGGGATTTTGTCTTAAACCATCCCAACTGATACCTCTCTAAACTCTCCATCTAAGACACGGGGACCAACAGCTGACTCTGAGGTGTGGAGTATTCTTGGGGGGGATGGATGCTAGAGCAGAGAATCAGACGCCCCTCTTTCCCAGATTGTCTTGCTGCAAAATTGGAAGTCTGCAGCCAAACAACTACTGTCCCTTTCACGCGGGCTCAACGAACGCATGCCCGAAGCTGCCCAAAGCTTCTTTTCTGTTAAATCAATCAACCAACCCCAAACTTCCCAGAAATGAAATAAAAGAATTTTTTTTTCTTCCACTCTGTCTTCTTCTGTTATCAGTCCTATCGACACCCTACAGTTCTTGGAACTGGCCTATCCTAGCCTGCAAGACAGCCAGGTTACTGTAATGGCTAAAGCATCAGGCTAGTAAACTGGGAGATCATGAGTTCTAGTTTGTCTTAGGCACAAAGGCAGCTGGGTGTCCTTTGCCCAGTCACTCTTACTTAGCCCTCAGAAGTAGGCATTGGCAATCATTTCTGAAAATCCTTGCCCCCCCCCCCCAAAAAAAACCAACCCTGCAGGAATCTGGCCAGGCAGTCTCTGAGAAGCAGACACAACTGAACAGAAAATAACAACTGAACAGAAAAAAACCCTATTACTACTACTACTACTACTACTACTACTACTACTACTACTACTGTTATTATTATTATTATGGATCATCGCACAGTCAGCCAGATGTTCAGACTGGATTTGGCATTTTGTCTACCTATCGAGTCCTTACCCGGGACCTGGGATAGGCAGATGTGGATGTTTGATGGTATTACAGGTATCGTCGCAGGATGGAAGCAGTTCCTAGTAAGGCAGCCTTTTGCAATTGACTAATAGCGAATTTGTCAATGCCAATGGTGTTCAAGTGGTGCTCCAGTTGTTTTGGGATTGCACCCAGGGAGCCTATTACTATTGGTACTACCCTTGCTTGCTTTTGCCACAGTCTTTCTATTTCTATTTGTAGGTTTTGTATTTTGTTATCTTCTCCAGTTCTTTCTCTTCTATTCTGCTATCTCCAGGCACTGCCACGTCCACTATCCAGACTTTTTTGTCTTTCTTATCGACACTTGTTAAGTCTGGGGTGTTATGTTGCAGGTGCTTGTCTGTTTGAATTCTGAAGTCCCAGAGCAGTTTAATTTTATTATTATTATTATTATTATTATTATTATTATTATTATTATTATTATTATTATTTATTTATTTATTTATTTATTTATTTATTTATTTATTTCCTATTTCCCTGCAAGTTCATATGAGCCACGAGTGTCATGCAACTGCTAAAATGGCAAATACAATTTGGGGGAGCATTCAGAGAAACCCAGGGTCAACGTTTTGGGAAGTAACCATTCTCATCTACTCTATTCTGCTCAGACCTTGTTTAGAGTATTGTATTCAGATCTAGGCGCCGTCACTCCAAATGGATAGTGACCAACTGGTTGGTTTGCTTTGGGGTATCTCGACCAGATGCATTCATTTTGCTTTTTTTTCCCTCTCTCTCTCCACAGGCTACCTTGGGTCCCCCTGGTCTGAAGGTATGTTTCTCCCTTTTCTTGACCATTTCTGCAGCTTGAGGCACCTGAATCCCATCGTTCTCCTGAGTTGCTTTTTCTGTCCCTTGCAAAAAACTGACCACTATCCCCAAAGCTGCTATTAACCATGGTTGCTCAGGGTTTAGAATGCAGTATCCCAGGCTAATTCTGCCGACTGCAGCAATTTGATTATCACCAGGTCAAGGTTGACTCAGCCTTCCATCCTTCCAAATTTCGTAAAATGAGGACCCAGATTTTGGGGGGCAATATGCTGACTCTGTAAACTGCTTAGAGGGGGCTGTAAAGCACCTGAAGGCAGGACAAGAAGCAACGGATGGAAACTGATCAAGGAGAGAAGCAACCTAGAACTAAGGAGAAACTTCCTGACAGTGAGAACAATTAACCAGTGGAACAACCTGCCTCCAGAAGCAGTAAATGCTCCAACACTGGAAGTTTTTAAGAAGAGAGGAGTGGACAATCATTTGTCTGAAATGATGTAGGGCAGTGATGGCGAACCTTTTAGAGACTGAGTGCCCAAACTGCAACCCAAAACCCACTTATGCATTGTCAAGTGCCGGGTGGGTGTGGCCCATTGGCTAGGTATGACCAATTGGCTGGGCATGGCCCATTGGGTGGGCGTGGCTGCCGTGGTAACGGCAGACTGGGTGGGACTAAAAAATTCAATCAATCAATTCCAACTTTGCAAGATCCTTTTTTTTCCCGCAAGAAGTTGAAATTGACTGATTGAACCTTTTTTTTTTTTTTTTTTTGCACATGGTGGCGGAGGCCTAAAGCGAAAAGGTTTTATAAAACCCAGCAAAGACTGGGGCGACAGCACGCGTGCCCACAGAGAGGGCTCTAAGTGCCACCTCTGGCACCCACGCCATAGGTTCGCCACACTGGTATAGGGTTTCCTGCCTGAGCAGGGGGTTGGACTAGATGATCTCCCAGGTCCCTTCCAACTTTTTATTATTATTATGGATCATCGCACAGTCAGCCAGATGTTCAGACTGGATTTGGCATTTTGTCTACCTATCGAGTCCTTACCCAGGACCTGGGATAGGCAGATGTGGATGTTTGATGGTATTACAGGTATCGTCGCAGGATGGATTTATTATTATTATTATTATTATTATTATTATTATTATTATTATTATTATTATTATTATTATTATATGGTATATAAGTCTCAGTGCTATGGCTATTGCTATTTTCCATTTTCCTCTCTGATTGTCTCTGATTAGATTTTGTTTCTTTGCGAAACATATAACTTCCATTACATCAAACAGTTCAGAATCGTTGCGGATTGGTTCCAAAATCAATAATGTTTCCCAAGAGTGTAAATAGACTAAAATGCTTTCTCCAGCTTTAATAAACGTATTGTACCACCATTATTGCTAATCTTGCAGATCTTACGGGCAGACATACATAATTTAACACTACTTTACTTTTGTGTATTTACAGTAATTTCAAGAGTGGGGTGGATTGTGTGTCCTAGTCATTAATGCTGTTTGATGTACCCATAAACCTTGTTTCGGCCATTGTTAGAACCTCTGCTAACAATGCTCAGTGTGCCGTCAATCTTCAGGGCAGCAGCCCTCATTCTCTCCTCATTGGATGGGTGTTTCCTCCCACCAGTGTAGCTCCTTCCTTCTCCACCATATCGACCCAATTCTCCTCTTCTTCTTTCCTGCTGATCCCACTTCCCTATTCAGGTATCAAGGAAAGATGAAGGAAGTGAGGTCATGTGACCACAAGGACATACTAAGACAATTGACCAAAGGCAGAGATGATGGAATTGACTCAGCTTGAGGGAGGATCTGTTTTGGACAGCTTCAAGAGGGAATTCTACTGAGCGCTTGTCCTGAGGCTGTTCTTCTGGCTGACATTTTCTTAAGCTTTGCCTCTTTTCCTTGCAGGGTGGGAAAGGTGAACAGGGATCTCCAGGAATCTATGGATCCAAAGGAGAGAAAGGTGATCGTGTAAGTTGGCTCTTTCTTAAGCTTCCTGGGATGCCTGTCCACTTTCAGGCTTCGATGTCGTGAGGTAGGATCTGGGGATTGAAGCAGATTTTTTTAATTTATTTATTTTTCACGTATCTGAATTGCCCAAGTCCCTCAAAGAGGGATGCTGGCTTACGAGATTTGGAACATTCAACTAATGCAAGAGAGGTCTCAGGGCTGGGACACAAATGAAAGCATCTCAAAAAATTTAACTCACGATGAGCAGAGGAATATTTCAGGATCAGTCTTGTCTGGAAGAAAGATGACTAGCCTTTCAATATTGTATTTTTGGAAAAAGAGGCTCAAACGGCCTCTTAGCGTCTTCGCTTTAATGAATTCATTAATATTTATATATAAGAAAAGAAAGAAAGAAAGAGAGAGAGAGAGAGAGAGAAAGAGAGAGAAGGAAGGAAGTGAGAGAGAGAAAGAAAATGAAGGAAGAAAGGAAGGAAGGAAGGAGGAGAGAGAGAAGAAAGGAAGGAAGAAAGAGAGACAGAGAGAGAGAGAAGGAAGGAAGGGAGAGGGAGGGAGAGAGAGAGAATGAATGAAGGAAGGAAGGAAGAGAGAGAGAGAGAGAGAGAGAGAGAGAGAGAGAAAGAAAGAAAGAAAGAAAGAAAGAAAGAAAGAAAGAAAGAAAGAAAGAAAGAAAGAAAGAAAGAAAGATACTGTCCACTTCACCAGTACAGCAACTGTGGGCGGCTTGCAAATGATACAAAGATAAAACATTAAACAAAAAATTAAAAGAGTTATGTAAAAACTAAAACAAGGGGGATGGGTGACATGGGGTGAGGTCTTCTTACCCCAACCACATCCAGCCAAGAGAGGGCTCTTAGGGGCCCCATGCCCAAACCAGGTTTTGAGGCCCTTCCCGAAGGCCAAGAAGGTGGAAGCAGATCTCGCCTCCACCAACAGTATGTTCCACGGGGCAGGGATCACAATGGAAAAGGCCTTCTCCTTGACCCCACCAGCTGAGATTCCTTAGCAGGCAGGCTCTCTTCTGTTGGCATTAGTTGGGCAGGCTAATCCCATTTGGGTTGAGGTGGCTCTGCAAATATCCCAGACCCCAGTCACAAAGGGCCCTAAAGGTAATGACCGACACCTTGAATTGGACCTGGAAGCGAACTGGTAACCAGTGCAGTCTGTACAATTAATAAATGAGCTGTGGGTTCCTCAGTGCTCTCTGAGCTTGGATGTTTTCTTGCAGGTGTTTCATTTACCCAACTAGGTAACTTCATAAGTGCAATATGTATTAGCTTCTTTCTATGAGTTGGTAGTTCTTTGGGGGTTTTTTTGGTTTTTTTTATTTTTATTTTTTAAACCCAGCAAAACAAGACAAAACAAAACATGACACACATACACACACAGTGTGTGCTCCTCCTTTTTTTTTTTTAACAGCAATTTCGTAACGGTAATCTATTATTTACATTTTCCCTCCTTATTCTTCTTTAGATATATTTGTCGTTGTTGTCCCGTTGTTTCTTGTTTGCATTTTTCTTCCTTCATACTATACTTCATACTAAAAATAATACATATTATTATTACTATACATTATTATACACACATTTTCCACTTTTGACCTTTCCACATTTATTCTCCTCTATTATTTCTAGTCCCCAACCAATCGTACCACTTATTCCATATTAAATAGTACTCTGTGTCTTCCTTTTCTTTTATCTCTTTTGTTAATTTATCCATCACAGCACAATCCAGGATTTTCTTTATCACTTCTTCCTCTGATGGTATATTCTCATTCCCCAAAATGTTGGAAATGTAAAAAAGTATATGGAACATATTATCATTTATGGTGGACATGCCCAGTTGCGAAAAAATACTGGACTAAAATAAGAAGATGGATCAAAGAAATAATGGACCAACCCATAGATTGGAAACCAGAGATCTTTTTGCTGGGTATTTTAAACAGAAAATATAGTAAAGAAATACGGTATTTAATTCTACATATAATAATGGCAGCAAGACTAGCATACGCACAGTTCTGGAAAAATGAGTTGGTAGTTCTTTGATTGGGGTATTATTTACTTCTTGATTGTAGGAAATTGATGGGTGGCTAACAAATGTAATCAATAAGTAAATAAATGAAATAAAATCTTGGTGCTAATCTCTGCTCCTATGGGTGCTGATTGCTGGTGAAGAGGTGCTTTGGTCTTTGGGTTTCCTGAAGTAACAACAAAAAAGCAGCCTAATCAAGGAAACACTAAGGCCAGACTCACCCTGACAGGGCAAGCCACTTGTCTATTAAATGAGAGCAAACACCACCCCTTCTAGCACTCACTGATGATGTTACCTAGGTCTGAAAGAAAAGAAACAAGCTCATAGAGCAGTGGTTCTCAACCTTTTTAATGCCGCGACCCCCAACCGATCGTAAGTCGAGGACTACTCAACCAGTCGTAAGTTGAGGACTACTCAACTGGTGCAGCACCGTTTGCAGAATGGGACTTTTGGCGGGCTCAGCAGGGCAGAGACAGCCTGGACAATTCCTATTGGCTTTTGAAAGCCAATAGAATTAGAGTCTATTCAAGAGAGTCCATTCTATTGGCTTTCAAAAGCCAATAGAATAAAAGGGAGTAGCACAGCTAAGGAAAAGGGGGGGGAAATGGCGGACTGCATTGTTTGGCGACCCCCGTGAAATGGTCGTTCGACCCCAAATGGGGTCCCGACCCACAGGTTGAGAACCACTGTCACAGAGCATCAAGGACCCCACAATTCATTCCTGAGCTACAAATATTCTCTTCCATTGATAAACGAGCACTAGGCGTTTAGCTTATTTCCTTCCCAAAATTTTGTATGTTAACTTCTTACCGCCTTGACCGTAAGTTTATTAAAGAATGTATCAGTGAATCTTTCTTTCTGAACTGACCTGGGCTTTAAATGGCTTGACAACTGAGGATTGCTTTATCTTCTGATCTCCCTTTAGGGTGCTGACTGTGTCCGGATCTCACCTGAAGCTCCGTTACAGGTGAGGCCCTTTGTCTCCAAGGAGACTCATGAGAACTTGGCATCTTCTTGCTTTTTCCTCTTTTCCTTCTGTATCTGCCTTGCCATCCTAACCCTTCCTTGCTTCTTTTTCAAGTGTGCTGAAGGCCCAAAAGGGGAGAAGGGAGACCAAGGAGAAAAGGTAGGTATGCCTTTACCAAAATATGAGAAAACCAAACAAAACCAAAACAAATGTTTTATTTAAGCCTCTCCCTGTTCTTTCTCTTCGCCTTGAACAGGCCTCCAATTTTCACACAAATCCCTCTCTGCATTCCAACAGATTTAACTCAGGAAGGATTTGGCCAATATTGGCTTAAGATATTATGATTTACTTTTGAAACATACTCTGCTTGTAAAGCAAGCCTTAACTTGGGGGGGAAGTATGAGGAAGAAAATCCCAAACATTCTTCGGGTGATGTTGGCCCAGACATACCTGCGAAGATCAACAGCTCTGAAAAATAGGCTGCAGAACCTTGATTCTGTGGAACATGTGATGTTCCGGGAAGGGGAAAATGGACTTGTTTCAGTCCAAATGAAGCCCTGGCATAGGAGAAGAAGGCTTCAGCTTGGCCAAGTTGCCTTCTGGGGCTGCTTTCTCTTTTTTATGTCTTTTCTTGTCTTTTTTTCCCACTTTACCTAACAGCATCCTTGACTATGTTCACACAATATACCTATCATGTAATCACTGAACATTCTGGGTTTGCAGACTACCTTGAACCATAAACTATACTATCCAAAAAGGCTGCTGTCATACAACATAATAAGAGTGTCTCTCTCTCTCTCTCTCTCTCTCTCTCTCACACACACACACACACACTCAAAAGCAACCAAAGTTAATCAAAGTAACTTGCAGAATGAAGGAACATCCAGCTTTGAAACTGACTTCATAACAACCGTTGTGTGAACAGGACTTGTTTGCGTGTTCTTTAACTCTCTCATACATATCCCTGCTTAGCCAGGACCCCTGAAGCCTGTTTGTCTCTTTCACAACAGTCTAGATGTCCTTTATTTACCCAAAAAAGCCTTTAGGATGAAGGACAGAGGGAATGATTAAAGAAAGGAGACATAACTTTGTCCAGTGCTGTTGAACATAGGGCCCTCCTAAAGGGAGACCTTTAGATCTGTCCCCATTAGTCTAATCTGATGAAGACAGAAAAAAACATATTAATAATATTTATAATTTGCTCTGTACCAGAGAGCCAACTAGGAGGCCATTGAAGTAGTCTAGACAGAAAGCACTAACCGTGAATGCTAACACTATCCTTATTGTAAAGTTACTCTCAGATGTCCAACTAGCGAATCCAAGAAAGGAACTCCTGGGGCATTGTTCTTCCCACAAGTAACACTTTTATTGAAAACACTACATTTGAATAGAACGAGCAAAACCAGCTCTGAGTTTCCTGCTCAAAGGTCCACATAATTAAATGTTAATTCCCCATTTGGCCATCCCTTTCTGCCCATTGCGATGTCCAATCACGTACACTCCTTTTGTTATGGGAACTGCCTGGATCAGTCAAACACCTGAGCAGAGTGACCTTGAAGGGAGAAACAGGATCTCATGATCTTCAGACGAATCCTTGGCATTCCATTCCCGACCCAATTCAACCACCCCCCTCCCGTCAGTTGTCAAGTTGAGATCGGAGAAGAAACTGGGTGAAAAGCGAATCACTCTTCACAGTTACGTTACAGAGTCTTGCAAATATGAATGTACGTCTCCCCACCTTACTTTTACTCTCCCCATAACTAGGGAGAGTCCCATCTGAGTCCCACCTCATCCCTTTGTTTATCACACTATTGTCTCTCTTTCTCCTGTCTCCCAAGGTCATTTCCAAACACCATTACGCCCAGCTTGGATTAGATGAAAAACATAAAAATAAAACAGGATTGAATTAGGATGAGCTGGATGTAATTAGGATGAGAGACCACAATAAAAGACGCCATTAGAAGCTGGACTTGAAGTTGGAAAGACATTGGGAAAGAAGATAATGACATGCTTAGGCATTATTTCTAAAAATGCCAACTGGAAGAGTCCATAAAATTAGCAGAGGTCAATTCAGTTCAAGGGAGATTAAACTTGACCTATTCTGGAACTTGCTATCATTTTGAGGGACAGAATCTTTTGTAGCATCTGTACTTGTTACGTGCGTCTATCCAAGGGTAGGCAAGTATATACATTATAGCCATATAATAAGGTTCTGTCAAAAAAAAACAGCCATGGATGGGATAAATGCAGTTTCAAATGACACAACCCTAAGGGTCTGCTGTGATTTCAGTTGTTTAGGATTAGAGCAGGGGTTCTCAACCTTGGCAACTTTAAGACTTGTGGACTTCAACTCCCAGAATTCCTCAGCCAGAGTGACAAGGCCAGGATTGAAAGGACAACATCAAAGTGTTGTGTAAAGGAAGAATCAATCACACCAAGGGTGTGAGTGCGTGTGAAAAGTCAAGGTGTCAGGCGCACCCACACAGTCAAAGCCCCAACAGCTTTTTATGTGGACACATTAAAAAGGAATGGGACTTCCATTGCAAAATTGCAGCGTGTCGTCTTGATTTTGATGACCTTCTCTTTCAGCTACCCCAGATACCTCTGTTTGATACTTCTGCTATCTCTGTTGTCATATAAACCGATGCAAGCTTGATCTAGAAAAGTGATGGAGGGCTCAACACTGTCACACTACCATCACCTCAGAGAGAGAATTTCTTTATCGTCCCAGAGGGCAAGATCTAGACCAAGACAGAAGCTATCAAAATGACCAAAAAAAAGAGGTGGTTCAGAAGAATATTTCTTACAGTTCCAGCTATCAGGCTACTGCATGGTGTAGAATAATTCCCATTCTTTGCTGGAGATTTTCAAACTGTGAACCCTTCAAAGAAAACCAGACTAGGAAAGCAAAGTCATGCAGGCCAATACTGCTTTTATTATAAAGTTATAGCATCTTGTAAGTGTGGATGCACTTCCCCACTCCTCCTCTTTTAACTTTGTGAGAACTAGAAGGTCTTGTCGGGGGCACCGTCTCAGATTACAGTTCTGCTTTGAACTCAGATTTCTTTTATCAGATCACTGTCCTGGCTACTGTTCTTTCTCTTGTCTCTCAAAGTCATTCCTTTTGCCCATTACATCAACAGATGCTGGATGGTTAACTGTTGGAGACTCTGCAGATTCTGCAACAAGCAGTGGGGGGGGGGGGTTGGATTTGATGACCTCTCCATTCCCTTCCAACCTTATGATTCTTTGCATCTTTAGAGAAACATCACTTGGCAGGTGTCCTTGCATCTGAATCTGAATCCAGCGGGACAATGTCTGTCAAGTGCAATCTCAACAGTTGCCTCAGCTAGTAAACTTCCTGTGACCTTCCTAACTCTGGGCAGAGCCTTGTGGCCATCTGCTTAACCCATCTCCTCTGTTCCGTTTTGCAGAGATGCTGAGGTTTTCCCCTTCTCCCAGTTAATTGGAACTAAGGCTAGGGAGACAGCTCACTGCACACAGCCAAAGCTTATATTGTGAATGATAAATATTTAGTTTCGCTATCCCAGAGCCAGGCCTATGAAGACACTGTAGCTCTTCTCTGGACCTGGCCAGATGTCTCCTGCTTTATGTGCACAAAAGCCAACCTAGAAATGTAACAAAATAAAAATTTTGGCTGGTTGTTACAAAACAATATTGTTTAGCTGACTTTCCCTTACCTTCTGCTCTGGTCATCTTCTCCTCATTCCTTAGGACCTCTTCCTCTTTCACATCTCTTTTTCTTCTCCCCACTGCACCAAACCATTGGAAGTAACAGTTCCACTTAGATGATTCATGCATTTGAAGAAATGGTTAAGACTGAAACTGAGCTGAAAAGATGATATGCAATCCAATATACCGCTCATTGATGGTCAACCCCCAGGCCACTAAGAAGAGAAAACATATGCAGGTTTATCAAGTAGAAAAACATTTATCAGGAATAAATGTTGGCTGTTGGCCAGCTCTGAAAGCTCAACTTCTTCTATCATGTCCTTACAATGAGTGAATTTTAGTCTCTGAAAACTCTACATATTTCATACCATAGCTTCTCTGAACACATGAATATGTTGGATATAGATGTGTTCCAAATAGCACATTTGTAAATCCCTGAACCAGCCTTCTTTTCCAATTTGGTGTCCTTTAGTTAGGGTGGATTTTGAATCCCAGATCATAAACCAACACTTCTGGATAGTGGCTGTTTTAGGGATATAAAATTAATTGTTCATGATAAACTGGTTCTTAAGTTTTATTATAGTTTAGACCAACATGTTGGCTGGGAAATTCTGGGAATTGAGGTCCACGTAGCTTAATTCTGCCAAGGATGAGAAACACTGGTTTAGACTATAAATTTCTACATTGCTAATTAATGAATACTTTTTTTTGTTTCTAGGGGCTTCAAGGACTGATTGGAGGTCTCGGGCAGAAAGTAAGTTTTTAATGCCAAAATTCAGTTCAGGGATTGAATTAGTAGGGGATGCAACTGAGCCAGTGTTCAGAAACCAATGTGACATGATTCAAAACCAAAGCAAGACAGACTTCCTAAATTGATTCAAGGCATCTGATTGGATAAAATTGACAAATCCTAGCTTTGGAGAATAAAGTAGTTGGTTCATGGAAAGATGATCCACCTAACTGTTTCCCTCCCATTTCAAGATAGGAAATTACTATTTTCTTAACACATGATTAAGGAAGTATGCGGTGATTAAGAATAGTCGTTCACTGTTTGGTTAAGAAGCCCTAACGCCAATTGGGAAAATAGCAGATCAATGAACTAGAGTCAGTGGTGAAATTGTAGGTTTAGAAAACTTAAATTGTGGCTGAAATACACTGAATTGCCTACTAAATTCTGTCATTCTTGGTCATTTTCTGCAGGGACAGAAGGGTGAGAAAGGAGACTTAGGACTTCAAGGAAAATCAGGTGCCCCTGGGCGAGATGTAAGTTGCACAACAGGCATCCTTCTCTTTGGTGACATCGCTGTTGCTGATTTCCCCTTGATTCCTGAATTAGATGATGTTCTAATGATTCCCTGAGAATTACATCAATATTCAAACACCATTTTTCCTAGGATCTTTGTATCTTTGAGGAATGGGGTAGAGACAGGTTTTTTGTTTAGTTTTGATATTTATGTTTAATAGCTGTTCGGCTATTTTGCTATCCTGTACAGAGAGAAATAGATATAGGTAGTTGCATTTGAGGTCAAGCCATTGCATGACTTGAGAACAGTGTCCAAGCTGAACCATATTCCACTCATAAGTAAGCAAGGTGTGCCAGGTTCAGCCAATCCAAAGGCTTAATATTCTTGGCGAAGACCAATTTCTGTCTTGCTTCCTACTCTTTTCCTAACTAGAGGGAGAGTTGAGCATATTCAGGCTTAAGTAAACCTTATCCTCAGCCTATAGAGTAACAGTAACAATATAACAAAGTTGGAAGGTTCCTTGGAAATCTTCTAGTCCAACTCCCTGCTCAAGCGGGAGACCCTATACCATTTCAGATAAATGGTTGTCCAATCTCTTCTTAAAAACCTCCAGTGTTAGGGCACCCACAACTTCTGGAGGCAGGCTGTTCCACTGATGAATTGTTCTCACTGTCAGGACATTTCTCCTTAATTCTAGGTTGCTTCTCTCCTTGATTAGTCACCATCTAATTATTTTAGTTTCAGAGTCCATCTTTGAGGAAGCTGATCGTGAACTGCATGAAATGTAAGGAAAGCTAACAAAGTCTGTTTTTTGCTATTTTCTAGGGCCGACCTGGAGAGCTGTGCATAGTAGGGCCCAAAGGCCAAAAGGTATTTATTAATTTATTTCATTAAATATATACGCCACCCATCTCACTGTTATGTATTGTGCTAGTTGAAGACAGGGATGGGGTGGGGTGGGGAATTCTTCTGATAGATAAACTTGACTAATGGCTGTGATGTTATCTTAGGGGGATCCAGGTTTCGTTGGCCCTGAAGGGCTTGCTGGAGAACCAGGACCTCCAGGGTTGCCAGGCCCACCTGGAATTGGCCTTCCAGGAAAACCAGTAAGGATTATTTTCTGACTTACCACTACTACTCTTCTTGGAAAATAAATCATCTGTAAAAGTGGAGCCTCCTTCCAATTTGATCTCTGATGGTCTCATAGACATATCCATGTACTTTTCTTGGGAACAGTAACTTGTCTTTGCCTTCTTCTCTTTTCTCATCACAGTCTAGTGCAGTGGTTCTCAACCTTTTTAATGCCGCGACCCCCCAACCGGTCGTAAGTAGAGAACTACTCAACCGGTCGTAAGTCGAGGACTACTCAACTGGTGCAGCACCGTTTGCAGAATGGGACTTTTGGCGGGCTCAGCAGGGCAGAGACAGCCTGGACAATTCCTATTGGCTTTTGAAAGCAATAGAATTAGACTCTATTCAAGAGAGTCTATTCTATTGGCTTTCAAAAGCCAATAGAATAAAAGGGAGTAGCACAGCTAAGGAAAAGGGGGAAAAAATGGTGGACTGCGTTGTTTGGCGACCCCCGTGAAATGGTCGTTCGACCCCAAATGCGGTCCCGACCCACAGGTTGAGAACCACTGATCTAGTGTACAGCCCTGATATTCCCATAAACCAATCTGGTGTAGTGGCTAAAGTGCTGGCCCAGAAACTAGGAGATGGCGAGTTCCACCTTAGGCATGAAAGCCAATTGGGTGACTTTGGGTCAATCACCAGGAGACTCTGAATTCTAGTCCCAACTTAGGTATGAAAGTCTACTGGGTGAATTTGAGCCAGTCCCTTTCTCTCAGCCCAACCCACTTCATAAGATGGTTGTTATGGGGAGCATAGGAGTAGGAAGGAGTATTAGGAATGTTCACTGCCTTGAATTATTTATAAAGTAATAGATGTGGGTCAAAAACCTAATAAATAAATAAATAAGGATCTCCCATCTACAGTAAATATTAACCAAGTTCAACCTTGTTTGCCTTCTATGCACAAACTAGGTCAGCCAGATACTGCCACCTGCTGATACTTTCTCTACTCGTGCATTAAACCTGTAATTCAGAGAAGACCTAAATTACTTAGGAGTTGATGGGAACACCATGAAGAGGTGTTCTACTTTTACTGCTGGGCTTATTTTTCCAATTCCAGAAAATAGATGGAGGTTGAGGTAAAAGCAGATAAATTGCAGTAAGGGAGGTGAGGGCATTTAACCCTTCTCCACTTCATCATTCTTCTGGCCTAAATATCTCATTTCCCCAAACTGCTATTTCATCCTTTCAGAGGAGATATATGTTCCTGGAGATGGGTTTTAGATTGAGAAAATGTGGGCCTAGACTAAATTCAAAGAACTTTGAATCCAACAAGAAGATTCCGTTAATACGTCTCCCTGATCACATCAAAATATTGCTTTAGCTCTGGGGAAACTTTTCAATTTTTGTAAAGGGTTTATCAAGATTCATTTTGATGCTCCTGAAGAGAGAATGATAAACATGCCTTGATGATGATGGTGGTGGTAGTATGATGGTGATTATGAAGACACCTATGTTTGTGATGATAAGGATGAGGGTTTTCTTGGGAAAATCTAGCCATAAGGGATAGGTGACTATTTTTGACTGAGCAAGAGTCGTTGTCCACCAATTACATCCAGTCAGATCTTAGACTTTTCTCCTCCTCTTGCAGTGCTTCCTTCCTAGGAGACCTCTTTCTCTCTCAACACCAACCTCCAACTGTCTGTTGGTGACAGATGATTGTTCACGTTCTTCACATTTGTGCTCTCCCTTTAGCTAATTCCTCCAGATCAGTGTTTCTCAACCTTGACAATTTTAAGGCATGTGGACTTCAACTCCCAGAATTCCACAGCCAGCATTGCTGGCTGTGGAATTCTGGGAGTTGAAGTCCACATGCCTTAAAATTGTCAAGGTTGAGAAACACTGCTCCAGATGGAGCAGGAATTTTCCAGCCCTTTAATCCTGAAACTGATAGGGAAGCTTCGGATAAAAATCCATCCTAAAATAAAGTCGAAGGTGGACTGAGCTAAAGATTTAAAATATGGAGTCAGTTCATTGCCTTTTCCTGTATGAACTTTATTGGCTGGTAGATAGGTACAACCTCAGGTTTAATGTTTTTGCCCAGGGTACATTTATTTTGAGTTTTGTTACAATCACAGTTACCTGTGATAGAGTTTTGATTTCCCTGTGATGGACAGATAGGCTAACATCTGGGGACAGATGCTTTATTACAGTTGCTTCTTTCAGTCAATGCACTTTTTGTAGCATCCCTTTGAATGGTTCACCACTATTCCAGAAGTCATCATACTGATAAAATACCTATGGAGCATAAGTCTAGACTAGGGGTAGTCAACCTTGGCTCTTTTATGACTCGTAGACTTCAACTCCCAGAATTCCTCAGCCAGCATGGCTCAGCTTGGAAACCTCTCCCTTTTCCCTCAGCATGGCTGGCTCAGGAATTCTGGGAGTTGAAGTCCACGAGTCATAAAAGAGCCAAGGTTGACTACCCCTGGTCTAGACTTTCTTGTCAGGTTGTGTTTCCTTTCATTAACAGTGCTTTTGATGGCTCATTTTTGAACAACTTTAACAATTTGGTTTTCATTTCAGGGTGATCCCGGTGGGCCCCCAGGTTTGACAGGAGAGAAGGTATGTTATGAAACTTTAAGAGCTTTTGTGATCTCCAATGGTTCTAATCTTGAAATGAACATCACGTCTTTTGTTCTTAACAGTGTTACTACTGGGCTAAATTTCATTGCCATCAATTTTGTTCTCTATTTCCAGGGAAATTCAGGACCTCCAGGGGAAAGTGGATCTCCTGGGAAGCCAGTAAGTCCTTTCTCCAGCATACAAATCAATGAACTAAAGGTCACAATATCTAAGGAGCTTCTAGTTGTCATTGACTTCCAAGCTCTTGACTGGGCTGTCTTACCCAAGTCATGGGACCAGAGAAAGATACTTGGAAAGCGGGATGATCCATTGATGAGTTTATCTTAAAATAGGCATCTTCAGCCTGCTTCCCTCCTGTTGTGGTCATGGTCTTCCATGGCTTGAGATACCTATCATCAAGCAGAATCAAGAATTTCCTAGCTGTAGGGAACTAGGTGAAAAGAAGGCCTTTTCACGATGGCAAATTAATCCCTCTATGAGTTTTCAGCAACATAGTCCCCATTCTGTTGGCAGAATAAAGGTCTATTCCCAGGTTTTTGAAGCAGGAGATCTGCTCAATCTTGTGGCCATCTATCCTCCAGGAATGGCTCTTGGGCCTTTTGGCAAATGCCATGATTTTGGTTTTCTGATAATTGACTATTAGTGGACTTCCATGCAGTACTGCGTTGATGCTCTCAATGTTTTTTAAGAGTGTTCTGAAAAGTATTGCTGCTTTGTCCACACAGAGTAGAACAAAGATGTGTCTTCCAGAAAGGTTGGTGGGATGAAAGTTCAGATTGAGGACATGGCCCACCATGGAATTGCTATAAAAATTGAATAAAGGTGGGGGAAGACAATATGCAGTCTTGCTTGATGCCTGTCTCGGTTTGAATGGCTATTTAAACAGAAGAAAGGCAAAGAAATGAAACAATAAAGGAAAAAGAAAAAAAAACTAGAGGAGAGTTGTTTTCATTTTGCTGTGATTTGGAAAGAAGGAGAGAGATCTTTCTTTCTTTGTTTCTCCCTTTTTTTGTTTCTTTCTCACTTTCTTTTTCCTTCCTTCCTTCCTTCCTTCCGTCCGTCCGTCACTTTTCTTTTCCTTTCTTTCTTATACACATATATAAATATATACTCATTTTACACAACTGTTCAGTAACGGCTAACCATTTTTTCTAAATCTGGAACTATTTCCTCTGTATTTGCTTTCCCTTTTGGAGAAATGCATGTCCCAAAGTCCCCAGTGTGCACTGAATGTGCACATTTACACAGCGTATCCCTGCCTATATTAACTTCTGACATGTTTTTTCCTATGAAAGAAAGTCATATAAATGCTGGTTGTGTCCTGTTAGTTGGTGTTCTGAATATGGGTCCTCTAGCTGTTTATCCTTGGGAAGCAGTCCAACTTTGCTGCTGTCTGTTTTCACATTCCATTGTGAACACTGCAATCTTAGAAAAACTTGATTTGAATCCTTGTCAGCTCTCATTCCTTTTGTTTAGGGTTTAGGACAACAGATTTTGTGGAAAATTGGAAGCATTTGCTACCTCCTCCCCATTGGTTCCTTTTGTTAAATTTTGTTTTTAGGTCCTTGGTGTGTATGTGTGTGTGTGTCCTAATGTCATAAAAATGGACTTTTCGCAAAGGCTACTTTACGTCCCCAGTTCATATGAAGCTAAACTATATTGGCCCTACTAATATTTTGTGGCTCTGGATGATAAAGAGGCCATCAGGTTATTTGGGTAAAAGACTGGCAGAAGCTGAGAAAATGTTCTTCTGATATTGCTTTCCAAAAATGAAGCTCACTGGGCCTTTGGCTTCAGTATATCTGGCAAAGAAATTACAAAGACTTTCTCTCACACACCATTCTGTTATTGATTCTTACATGCCTAATTCTGACATCTTAATCTGTCATGGAGGACAGTAATGTAATGAAAGCTTTCTGTGTGTTTTCAAATAAACCTTTTATGTAGCATTCGGTGAATCCGGAGGGGTCCTTTGATGAGGTTGGAGGAGGAAACGAAGGCAGGGAGGGAAGGAGTATGTTTCATTCCTTTCTCTTTCCTACACACTTTACTTAATGTTGTGATTCTGTGCCAGCCTGTGCTCCCAACAGCAGAGTCTGAGGAATCTGAGGAGGAGGAGGTGGAGGAGGGCCATCAGGGGCAGAGGGAGGCTCTGGTGAATTACAGGACTCACGTTTTGATGCAGAGCCTGGGCCTTCCAGTCGTGTTCCTGATGAAGCTTAGCTTTGTGAGGAGCATGAGTCAGACCCGGAAGACCCACACCTCATGGACTTGCTAATTGACACCTGCACACGTCAATTAGCGAAAGTAAATCAGCAGCAGTCAATATGGCAACTCCAGGGTAAAAGGAGAAGGCACTGAGAGGCAACGCCTTGGGACTGCTGTATAAAAAGAGGAGGTGTGGGCGGTGCTGGTTGCTGAAGGCAACCGTTTGCAAAGTGCTTCTTGGAATCCTGGTCTGTTCGTCTTGCTTGTGACTATTCTGTTTGCATCGTGTTTCCTGTGGACTATTTCCTTCCTTTGGACTTGAGTTTTGCTGTTTGTGTTTTAGACTATTTGACAGGTTTGTCACCCATATTAAAAGGGGTTTGTTTTGTTTTAAAGTCTCCAGCCTATTGTATCAACAGGGGTTTGGTCCCTGTGCCTTTAATAAGGACGGCAATAGGCTGGGATAGAGCACTTAATTTCAACCCCAAACATCTACTCAGAGTAAGCTGGCTTCCAAACAACTAGGGCTACGATCTTCTCTCCTATTCTGGGCTCTGGACTCACTTTCAGAAGTGAGTTTCTCACAAAAATGGAACACTATTAGCAAACATCAACTTAAAAGACAGTGGCACCTGGAGACAACTCAAGGAAGTAGTAACTATCCATCCTTACTTGTGAGCGTCCTGATTAGAAAAGCTAAAGCATTCTTCTATCTGTGTTAAGCAGCCCAGGTTTTTGCCTTTTGGTGATAGTGAGATCAGGATAGAAAAAGAGTTAGCGAGCAAACACCATTAGATATTACTCGCCTCCTTTACAGAAACCTTTCCCAAACTTAATGTATATATCTCAATTCCATTTGGCTGGAATTTTAAGAGGATCGATCCACCACATCTAAAAAATGTTAAGTAGTTGAGGATGGCCATGGAACAGGTAAAACCTGCCCCGCTGGTCTTTGGAGGCAGCCCCAAAATTTGGCAGGGGGTGCTTGTTTGAGCCGTTCTGGGCCATGTCATGTAATAAAAAAAGCATAGCGGTCAGCCACCCTCCACCTATGCTCTGGGGAACAGGACAGACACCAGAAGAGTCACCACCATCTTATTCTGTCTCCAATCCTACTTTTCTCTGGGTTGAGAAAACTTTGTCTTCTGTTGAGATGAAGTTCCTCTGGACTTAATGGGACTGTCTTTGTGGGTGAGTAAGGAAGTGGTGAGACTTCAAGTAGGTTCAGAAAGCACATTGTCACAGTTCTGATATCTCTGTACACATGCTGGATAGTTAGGAGATGGTCTTATTAGCATTTTATCAGCCAAATTAAACCATTCCCCTTTCTCTGCAGGGCAAACCAGGGACCCCAGGCCTGAAAGGTGTAAAGGTAAGTATAAAGAAATCAGGATCAAGGCAGAGTTTCAGAGGGGTTAGAGGTTAGAGCAGGGGTAGGCAACCCCGGGTCTTTTATGACTCATGGACTTCAACTCCCAGAATTCCTGAGTCAGCATGGGGGAACTATGGTTGTCTTATGACTGGTGGACTTCAACTCCCAGAATTCCTGAGCCAGCATGGGGGAACTATGGCTCCCTTCATGACTGGTGGACTTCAATTCCCAGAATTCCTGAGCCAGCATGGCTTAGCTTGGAAACCTCTCTCTTTCCCCTCAGCATGGCTGGCTCAGGAATTCTGGGAGTTGAAGTCCATGAGTCATAAAACAGCCGAGGTTGCCTACCCCTGGTTAGAGAATGCTAGGATGGGTTATAGTTTTTGTTAGTACTTTTACTCTTTGAGGATTCGATTCATGTTTCCTTTTCCTACTGTTGTTAGTTTCCGGTTCCTTTGTGTTCTTTGTGTTCAATACATCTTTATGCTTTCCTAACAGGGTGATCCGTGTGAAGTTTGCCCTACTATTATGGATGGAAACCAAATTGGCCTTCCTGGGAATCCAGGAGCCAAGGGGGAACCTGGACCACCTGGGAAACCCGGCAAATCAGTGAGTGCATGGATTGCTTTGTTCTTTGAGCTCATGGTGGAGAAGCCATCCAGATGCTCTTGGAAAAGGGGAATTTGCTGGATTGATGAGCTAGTGGAAATGACTTCTGACGCCTTCCATGGATTCTCCTTTCTTTTCCTTTTTGCAGGACAAACCTGGGCCTCCAGGAACTAAAGGCAACAGGGTAAGTGTGGGATTCAACTCCTGCAGGGAAAAGAGAAAGGGAAGAAGAGATTATAGGTGTAGTTCTATGGTACACGCAAGATCCTTGATGGTGCAGTGATTCGAATGCAGTTCGACAGGCAAATTCTTCCCACAGCCTGCAGTTCGATCCTGAGGGGCTCAAGGTTGACTCAGCCTTACACCCTTTTGAGGTCAGTAAAATGAGGAGCCAGATTCTTGGGGGCAACGTACTGACTCTGTAGACTTCTCAGAGAGGGCTGAAAAGCACTGTGAAGCAGTATATAAGTTTAAGTGCTATTGCTGTCTGCAAAATGAAACCCCCAGATTTAGCCTCTTGTCTTTGGTAGTTCCAGTTTTACAACATATGGTGTAGCTAGATCAGATCAGACCTTTGACTCCAATTTAGGCTGAGAGATGGATTGAGTTATTGAATATTCCAATGGGTACTTAGCAAAATCCACCTTCTCAGCCCAAGGCACAAAATGGAAGTCTCGTTCATATATTTTGTAAATTATAATACACATTTTTCCATTTAAAAACAATACATTAGGGGAAAGTCTTCCTAAAACGCATAGGTTTAGAAACGAATGCATTTGTAGGCCTTATACTAGAGAAAGTTGTGATAGGTGGCAGAGGTTACTATCTCTGGGCGCAACTTGGCACGTAAAAAATGGTGTATGGAATTTAAAGGGAGCAAAGAGTAGCAAGCAGGAATTGACAAATATAGTGAAATATATTTATGTATTTATGTGTGTGTCTTTGAAACAAAGAGAAAGGTACAAACTAATAGTTCAGAAGAAAAGGGGGGGGGCTGATCTTGTGGTATGTAAATAATGAATGGATGTGGGGAATTTACTGATGTGCATTTTAGCCTTTATGCTTAATTATGAATGGGAGAGCTAAAAAGGATGTCCGTTGGTATGAATTAGTGGCATTTTGGTGATTATGGAGGCATATGAAAGTAGAAATCGATAGACTGCTGATCAGTGCAGTTTATGCTCCGGTGAATAGTAATAGTGGAAGAATTGGAGATAACTTTTGAGGAAAAATTGTGCAACATTCTGAATGTATATGACCCAGGACGGATAAATATTCATTTTAGTGACTTGCTTGGATGACCGGGAATGAGCTGAGAGAGAACAGAAAAAGTGATTGTGCCATTAGGAGACCCAATAACGAAGAAGTAAGGTGAATGTTTGGTGAGCAGAGACATGGGTCTATGTTTCAAAGACATGGTTTAAGTTTAAATCTCCATGCATACACTTGGCATAAGAAGAACTGTAAATCTAAAGCAATGGCTGGTTTCATTTTTTTAAATGGTTATTGGTTGATTAGACAGATAGAAATAAAAATAAGGGCTACAAAACCCAGAAGATAGTAATAGGCTGTTGTATATTAATATTTGCCTAGATCCAAACATTAAATCTTGATCACAGAGAAGAATATTTATGCTGTTCTCTTTACTTAGTTAGTGAATAATGAACTATTGCATGTTATTTACCCCAGACAGAAGCATCTGCAGGGAATGGTAGTGGGTGGGTGGGTGCGTGTTAAACTGTCAACATGACATCCATAACCAAGGAATCAAAGCCCCACCTGGATGGCCCTGATTTCAGATTATAAATCTAATATGTATATAGGAAATGACCAGGCTGAGACGAGGCAGGGGTCAAACACGTCATATGCCACGAGTCCCTGCGCGCCAGCAATAGCTGTACATCCAGCCACCTTGAATGCCTCTCTTATCTCCCACTCATTTGGTTTGACCGTTAGTAGTTCAGATTCTTGCAGAGAGCTTGCAATAAATCTTTATACTCGTTTGAAAGGCCTGGATTTCCCGATTTCCAGGCGCTTGACAGTGTGGCTCCATAACAAAACAAACACACCAAATAGGCACGCCATATTCCTATATTGAAGAATTTCACATTAATTCAAAATCACATTCACATCTTCAAACCGTATTAATTTCCCCAAAGCCATGGTAAAAGTACTTAGGGCTATGAGACCCGCGTAGAATAATCATATGGTAAAACCACCTCTCGCGTATAAGTGTCCCCTCTGTTGTTTTATATTTTCTGCACTATTAACAGCCAATCCTATTTAAATATTTTCTGAGGTGTCAAATAAATATGAAAAAAAAATATTGTGCTGATCTAGGTCACTTCTGCAGCAATGACTCACAGTGTCTTCTATTACGGCCACGTGATGTCTCGCTTAACGATTTTAGGTGTTCCCTTTACTGTGGCAAAAAAACAACAACTTATTACTTATTTATTTAAAACATTTATACAGCTGCCCATCTTACTCTGGATGTCTCCCAATCCAAAGTTAAAACTTAGAAACCATAAGAAAAGTATAAAACGTAAACACATTAAAAACAACATGTCTCATTTCCTGACCGCACTACATAACGATGAATTTTCTGATCCCTGTGGTGAGGACTACCTGTAAGACTGAGGAATTCTGGGAATTGAAGTCCACAAGTCTTAAAGTTGCCAAGGTTGAGAACCCCTGCTGTAAGAATAAGGAGAGGTAAAGGACATATTCTTGACCAATTCCATGAAATATGTTGGCAGGCCTGATGCTATGTGCAGAAATTCTCTTCCTGACTACTTGGGCATTACTTATTAATTAAGATAACAGCTGCCTGGCCACAAGGGAGCCCCACACTCTGAAAAGGCTCCTGACTTGGCAACTTGCATGATGGATTGGATTCTAAAATGAAAGCAAGCCAACTGCTAGATTCTCTGGAAATTTTTCCTCTCCCCTTTCAATAAATCCTGTTAAACTCGGTGAGAATCTACTTTCTCTTGAAGACGGTTGCCAGGAGCTTCACAACAGATGAGGCAATAATTCCATGTGAATATTTATGCATTTATTTGTCAAAATTTATGTAGCCACCCATCTCACAAACAAGTGGCACTGGACAGCCTACAGCAACGGAAAAACAGTTAAATTAATGACTAGCAAAACTATTGTCCTTGTAATTGTTTTATAAAAGCATTTAAAAACTATAAATGACAAAGCGGAAAAGGAAGCAATATTAGGTGAAGATACACATGTTAGTAATAACTAATAATACCATCAAAACTGACACATTCACCATCTCTCAGTTGCAAAAGATAGGTTTATTGGGAACAACTTACATCCTTCAGTGATTCCAGAAGCGGTGAATGCTCCAACACTGGAAGTTTTTAAGAAGAGACTGGACAGCCATTTGTCCGAAATGGTGTAGGGTTTCCTGCCTGAGCAGGGGGTTGGACTCGATGACCTCCAAGGTCCCTTCCAACTTTATTATTATTATTATTATGGATCATTGCACAGTCAGCCAGATGTTCAGATTAGATTTGGCATTTTGTCTACCTATCGAGTCCTTACCCAGGACTTGGGCTAGGCAGATGTGGATGTTTGATGGTATTACAGATATCGTCGCAGGATGGAAGCAGTTCCTAGTAAGGCCGCCTTTTGCCATTGACTAATAGCGAATTTGTCAATGCCAGTGGTGTTCAAGTGGTGCTCCAGTTGTTTTGGGATTGCACCCAAGGAGCCTATTATTATTATTATTATTATTATTATGGATCATCGCACAGTCAGCCAGATGTTCAGACTGGATTTGGCATTTTGTCTACCTATCGAGTCCTTACCCAGGACCTGTGATAGGCAGATGTGGATGTTTTATGGTATTACAGATATCGTCGCAGGATGGAAGCAGTTCCTAATAAGGCCGCCTTTTGCAATTGACTAATAGCGAATTTGTCAATTCCAATGGTGTTCAAGTGGTGCTCCAGTTGTTTTGGGATTGCACCCAAGGAGCCTATGACTATTGGTACTACCCTTGCTTGCTTTTGCCACAGTCTTTCTATTTCCATTATTATTATTATTATTATTATTATTATTATTATTATTATTATTATTATATCTATAATCCATCAAACATCCAGATCTGCCTGTCCCGGGTCCTTGCGAAGGACTCAATAGGTTGATAAAAATGCCCAATCCAGTCTGAATATCTGACTGACTGTACAATGAACAATGATTAATAATAATTAACAAGTCACTGGTCCCTGGGGTACCCTGTGGTACCCAGGCCTGATGGCACATCCAGACTTTGAGGGACCTTTTGAGGTAAGGATACTCCCATAAAGCAGGCACCACAGCAGATAAAGACTTGGCAAATGTAACTGATCAGTAGAACCCTCTCTGCTGGATTTGGTGGGATGGGTAGATGTCACTGGGGAGAGGTAAACCTTCAGATAATCTGATCCTAGACCATGCAGGGCTTTTAACGTCCAGTTTGGTCTAGTGGTTAAGGCATCAGGCTAAAAAGCAGGAGACACTGAGCGCTAGTTTTGCTTTAGCCATGAAAGCCAGATGGATGACTTGGGCCGGTCATTCTCTCAGCCCAAGTCATCTAAAGGGGTTGTTGTTGGGGGGAGGGGAGGAGGAGGAGGAAGGTGTGTTGAATATGTTCACCATCTTGAGTTATTTGTAAAAATAATAAAAGGCAGGATACAACTTAACAACAGTTCATTCAGTGATCATCCAAAGTCACAAGGTCACTGAAAAAAAGTGACGTGTGACTTAATCATGGCAGCATCCACGTGATGAGAATTCAGACGCTTGGCGACTGACTCACATTTATGACGGTTGCAGTGTCCTGGCGTCATGTGATTCCCTTTCGCGACCTTTTGACCTTTCGCAAAGCCAATGAGGAAGCCAGATTCACTTAGCAACAGGGTTACTAACAACTGCAGTGGTTCGCTTAACCAAAGTGGCAAGAAAGGTCGCCAAATGGGGCAAAACTCACTTAACAAATGTCTCACTTAGCAACTTAGCATGTTGACAGCTATCTGTAAAACATACGGCGTGCAGTATAATGTTGCTGCTGTTTCAGTCAAGAGGCCAATTATTTAGCAGGTCATTTAGTTCGTTGCCAATCTCTTTGCTCTGTGTAATTCAATCAGTATTCTATATTAAGTCCATAAAGAAAAATTAAGTTCC